AAATCGAGAAAGTGGCGGCTCATAATATTGACATATGTCTTTTTCATGGTATTCATACAACATAATATCTTTACAATTCTTATAAAACTATTTTTACTGAACAAAAAAGCGCTATTTATGAAACTATTTCGTTGACACCCTGTATAGCAATTACCGATTTCATGCCGCGTACAAAATAAATCTCGAAGTAATCACGCCGGCCGCGGCCGCCACCCGGTGGTAGCTCCGAACTTTTCAAGGTGATCAGAAGAACAGGTGTATGGCATTCGGAGGGTCGCTTTCCCCCGCCCTTCCCCCCACCCCCGCAAATCTCGGTAATTCGACGTGATCGAGATGTGGGGCGGCATTCAAAAATAAAATATCCCGTTTCACGGGGAAAGCAGACGGCGAAAAAAGCGACACACCACCGATTTCGCACCCTCGGAGACGTGGGATTTTTTTTTAATAAAACAGGAAACACTTACGGTTGGCGGAAGCACGCCCCGGATATCTTGATTTGTGCGGCAAATGAAACTAATAGGAATGCGGCTCCCCTCGAGCCGCCATTAGATGAGGTTCGATTGTTTTGAGTGCGCGGGATCGGTGATTGATTCCCCTACCGGGGCCATTCGGGGGTTTTAATTGGGCGCCTGCTAGATGGAGTTTTCCGAATTAAATATACACGGGTTTTAAATAATAAATGCGGTTATTAATTCTGCACAACAACTGGATTTGAAAGTGGAATATGTATATGGGGTTCAAGGTCGACGACGTCATGGGTTCCAGGCTTAAAAGACGAATTTTGATAATTGAGGTTAGAATCGTTTTATATCGCAGGATTGTAAGTAGGTATATATTATAAGGTTGAAGAAAGTTTTTTTCGTCCCCGACAAAAGTCTACCCCGACAGATGACCGCCCCCCTCCCCACCCGGAAACCCCTTAGACAAATCAAGCCACCTGATGCTCATAAAAAAAATCACGCCCCAGAACCCACTTTTACTTTTACTCAGCTAACACATGTTCCATATATTATTCCACCCCCGACCGAAAAAAATCCCTCTCGAGTGTTTACACGTTGTTTTTTCGCCCCCGGTCCCCCCGATCCCGGCGACCGTAGCCACCACATGGACCAACAGAGCGGCCCAGACAAGTCACGGGCCTGGTCCGCGTGCAATTAGGGCCGATTTAAGGCAGCCGCCCCCGAGAGCGAGGCCGGGCGGCGGCCGCCGCCCGTCCCCTCGGGCGAAGTGTTGATGGCAATTAGGCGGCGGCGGCGAAAACAAACGTGACTCGAAACAAACAGCTGGTCCACCATAATTCTTGGCCTCCTAGACCGTGTGAACTCATCTAGCCGAGGGTTGCTCAGGGGTCATGTGTTCCTCTCTATTAAGGGTAGACACACAGGAAATCAGTTTTGATCTCGTCGTCTCGTCGAGATAAATCACGCGGTAAAAGTGAAATTGTTTTCTGGAGGGAGGGGGTGGTAAATACAGGTGGTTGAGACGGGAGGGATGTTGCGGCGGCGGAGGTGAGCGAGGGGTGACCTTGGGGCCAGAAGGGTTGTAGGCATTTTAATGATCGGAACACTTTCGGTTTCGGAGATGGTATTCGACGGGGCTGATGGTCGCTGACGTTATGATGGGTAGCCATGGGCTTTGTTTAACTTGCACAACAATTTTTCTTTATTAGTCATAATCTGGTAATGTGACGTCACCAATTTTACGGAGCCGATGAAAACAAAATTTCCGGTCATTGAAGATAATAAAGCGTTTTTTCTGCGGCTTTTTGGTCGAAATAAAACCCTATTGTGGGACAGTTCATCAAGAACCGCAGGAGCAGTAACAGACCTTATAAAAGGCCCATAAAATCCATTTACGGCATTCCTCTCTAATCCCGGCACAATGAGCGACCTTGTTGTGATTCCCGTGACGTCACTTGGGGTAGGTAAAACATCCGCCGGTCGTCCCTCCCCGGCCGACCGTGACCGTGAAAGTGAAAAGTATTTTTATCCATTCTCGCCGCCGTACCGTTATGCCCAAAGAAAATTCTACCCGATGACAAGTTCTCATAATCCATAAATCGCGACGTATGCGTCACCCCGCGTAATTTATTCAAACAATTATCATAATACTGTCTCGTCTGAGAAAAAAGCCGACAAAAACAATGTTTTTATAATAAATAAAATAGGTAAAAAACAATCAATTTACATAATTTCCCAATTGATATAATCTCCATTACACCGAACGCCGACCGCGCAGAAAGAGAAAGAATTTCTCAACGGTACCACACACTTAATAAACAATCGAGCAGTCGTGTGCCATTTTTTGTGACACACGATCACCACGTTATTATAACACCTATACAACGCCGGTTTTTTCTGGCTCTTCACGGTTTCGGCCGTTTTTTGCGCTCATCTTCAGACGGTTTTTTTTCGGGCGTTGGCGCTACTGGAATTGCGATGATCGATTCCACATTGTGTGATAAGTTTGAAACACGAGCCGCAGGCGAGTGTCGCAGTGTCAATTTTTACTCATAAAATATATAATTTACCCTTCGTCGGACCCAAATTTGTGCGTGATCGCCGGACCATTATAACGCCCATACAACAGCCCTTTTTTGGCTATTTACGGTTTCGGGCGTTTTTTGCGCTCATCTTCAACCTTTTTTGGGCGTTAGCGCTACCGGAATCGTACGAATGGCGATAATCGATTCGAACCGTGCCCCTTAATAATGTTTATTTTTCGGGGGCTCGATTTTCGCCGGCTATTTATGGGCTCTTTAACCCCATTCAGGCCATTGTGCCAAAAGTTCAACACCTGACATAAAGAGAACGACCGCACCGATTGATTGTTGGTGCGTTTTTTTAAGTGGGCCGGGGATCGATGGGGTTGGGGGTTGGATCAATTGGCACGAGATTAAGTTTTTTATGCAAATTGGGGTCTAGTTATCGGATCGGCGTTGAGATATTGCTGATTGGCATCGGGGAATTCGGAGGGATGAATTAAAATATAATTGGTGGGGAAGCTGAAGGGTTGGGGTTGGGGTGTTGTGACAGTTGCCAAGTAGTGTTAGGAGTGGGGTCAAAATACGGAATTGACCTTTGGAAATCCAGAAATAATGAAATGCGGCATCCGAACCGCGCCGATTACTTGAAAACTTACTAAGAAAATATAAGTCGGCGCAGTTTGCTCTGTTGTTCAATAGATTGCTTGACTTACATTTAACACGAAAGCTGTAACGATTTTTTTAATTGTTGTTATTGTTTACCTGTTTTCAAGCGACGACGAAATCTAGTTTTTGGTTTTGATAAAAACACTTTTTGGTCGTCCAATTGGTCAATCAATCAATACCTACGGTTTCTTTGGTTTCATAAATTGACGCTTCAGTGACTTAAACCATGACAATTAATTCTAGATAAACTACAGTTCTGTTCTGTTGGTTAATAGAATGTTTGTACTCCGAATTGATTTAAATATCTACGTCACAAACTGAGCTCTATTTAATTCTGACAAAAGGGACCGAGAGGAGTATCAGTGGCATAAAAGTGCATCATATTACCTACGTTAAATTAGAGTGCTTAGGCAATTTAGTAAGTTTACAGTAAACAGGTATAAATAGGTACAACGACATTTGAACGCCATATCTTAATGACTAGGATACGAAATTCTCATTAAGGTGAAGTATGGAGTCTGTGTATAAAACGAGCACCAACGCATCAATTATTACCTTACCTAACCCACCACAATAAAACAAATTACTCTGACGCAAAGGTTAAAGTAATATCACACAAGCGCGTCATTAAAAAAGGAAAAAAACATAGTACAGTTAAACGGATTGACGTCTAAAATAAGCGCCGATTTTCACCGTAAAATTTTCAAATTCATGCTGCTAAAAATGGTACTCTAATTAAAACAAGTCAAATTATTCGCTTATCGAACGTCAAAACGTCGACGTCTCAGCTTGTAAAAATTTCGCCATAATTAACAGCGCTTTTCGAACGAATCGTAGAAATTTGAATATTCATGGAATCACTTTTCAACGCCTACTGTTTTTTCTATCTTGATTATAACGGTTGTGGCACTATGACCCTTATAATTAGTTAAACTGTCAGCAAGCTTTTACTCGGACAATAAATACGTCAAGAGGAACGGCTACTAGGAAGACTGTATTTTTATTAGCATTCCTCGCGATGAGAATTAGGTATAGATTTTGATAAAACATGGACGGACATGTTGTTTCGCGTATCGTAAAACAAGAAGATTGGAGGAGTTATCGTTTATGGGTTTTATGGGCATTCCTGAGGACGTGTAGGAAAAGATCATTTTTCACTTGTATGGTGTTTCTATTGTGTGGACTTTAACTTTTCGGAGATACGTTCATAAAGCGTTGTGTAAACTGTCATGTGAGCGAAAATCCCCTTTTATGTTATAAATCAGGCTTTGTTTATCGCGTTTCTTAAAATCATTTTCTTGTGGTTTACGCATTTACATGACGAGGACAAGCGTTGTCATGTTATACAATACACATGAGAATGGAACGAACAGCTTGGAAAGATTTCTTGTCGAACATCATAATTCATAGAATATTTAATCATCTTTGTCTTGGGAAAATTTGCAAGAAAATCTTTTTTTACACGACTGGAAAGAAAGGATATGCTAAAATTGTTCTTGACTTATAACAGTACTATACTTCGGTTACCGAACAGATGGAGTTACAGAAATGCGTGTAAGCTTCGACATTCGCTATGAAGCGAAATTGCTTACTTCATCTGTTCAGTAAACCGATTTGAAGGCCCAGAGATGAATAAAAGAAAGTAAAAAGCGAAAGGAAAAAATGACTCGTGCATATAGAAAGCAAAGAAAAATTGAAGAAAACTTTGCTTGTAGGAAGCAAAGAAAAGAAACAGAAAATCGAAAAAAGTTGCAGAAGGAGAGTAACTATAAGAATTATTAATCATATAGCATGTGATCAGAATTGATTGTAATCGAGTTGTCCTTGTAAACTAGACGTATGTCCTTACCTTACATGCTCTGGATAATTGTGGTGCCTGAAACAACGGCACTTTTTATGAAATTGTGATATTTTTGTTAATTTATAATACACACACGTAAAAAGTCTACTGCAGCCTGCAAACTAACCTAACCTCAAATTCTCCCATTTGCTTTTTCGCTTTGTTTTGCTTTTGCTTTAAATCAGTTGTTTTAACAATTTTGCAATTAATTAAATAATTGTCGGTGATTTTTGAAAACATTCGATAACGAATTGTTATTTTCGTATGATGACTGCTAAGGAGATATTTTTAACAAGATGGAACCACAGCTCATGCAGCTGGAATCACAATAATTACTTTGGTACAAGGGTTTGTCGCAAGTCGTCTTCTCAGTTGAAACACAGAAAACTTGTGGTCTCTCGTTTCCGTCTGTCTGTCCGCCGTTCGTGTAGATTTTTATTAGGTAAGACAATATCCGAAATTACCCGATCGATTGTTGTCAAGTTTTGTATGTGTGTTCGGAATATCAAGTAAAAATTTTACTACGATAAATGTTATTTAAATTTTATAAAATAACATACTCCTTTACTTGTCGTTTATGAATCCGTTTTGAGTTTTTATCTTAGGCATCCAGATTTTTGGAAAAAAAATCAAAAATGTTATAAGAACATTTTACGATTTAACTTAAGATATTGCAAAATCGAATGCTTTGCAATTGTTTTAAGGTTCTCAGAAGAATGGTAAATTGTTAATAAAAATGTATCCGTTTATGCCCTCTTAAAAATTGATGACGTTATATTACAATTTTGCCGACTAAAGGTTATTAATATGTTAAAAAGTAACGTAGTTCTTATGATTTATGAATCCGTTTCGAATTTTTATTGTAGATTTTTGTAAAAAAAAACTTAGAACAAATCTTCGTTTTCTCGATATTTTAAATTTTAATTTCGCAATTTTTCGATTTTTCAATTTCTCGATTTTTCAGTTTTTCAGTTTCTCGATTTTCAATTCTTGGATTATTTAATTATTCGATATCTGGGTTTCAGGATTTATCAATTTTTCAATTTTTGGTGTTTCTAACTTTTCAAATTTTTGATTTCTCGATTAATGGATTTCTGATTTCTCCAGTTTCAATTTTTTTGACTCCTATTTCTCCATTTCCCGCTTTTCAGTTTTTCAATACTTCAATTTTTCGATTGTCGAGTTTTCCGATTGTTCGGTTTTCAATTTTTCCAATTTTCCATGTTGGGCTTTTTTGATTTTTCGGCTTTGCGATTTTTAGATTATCCAATTTTTCGATGTTCCGATTTTTTTAATTTTCAATTTTCGATTTCTCAATTTTTCGATATTTTAGTTTTGGGATTTTCATTTTTCTGATTCTTTTGATTTTTCAATTTTTGGCGTTTCTAAATTTTCGAATTTTTGATTGCTCGATTAATCGATTTCTGATTTTTCCAGTTTAACATTTTTTGACTTTCCTATTTCTCGATTTTTCAGTTTTTCAATTCTTCAATTTTTCGATTTCTTGATTTCACGATTTACCGAGATTTCGGTGTCTCGATTTTTCGATTGTCTTCAGTTTTCTGATTTTTCGAGTTTACCATTTTTCAATTTATCGATTTACATTTAAAAGTTTTAATTTTTTAATTTATCGGCTTTTCGATTTCTCGACTTTTCGATTTCTCAATTTTTTTCTTTTGATTTTTCTATGTTTAATTTCTTGATCTTTCTATGGTTCGATTTCTCGGTTTTTTGATTTTTCGGCTTTGAATCGATTAATCGATTTCTGATTTTACAAGTTAAACATTTTTTTATTTTCTCATTTCTCGATTTCTCGACATTTCAATTTTTGAATTTCCCGATTTTTCAATTTTTGAAATTCCCGATTCGATTTTTCAGTTTTTCAATTTTTCGATATTTCGATTTTTCAACTTTCGGTTTCTGAATTTTTCGAGATTTTAGATTTGGAATTTTTTATTTTTTGATTCTTCAATTTTCGATTTTTCAATTTTTCAGTTTCTCGATTTTCAATTCTTCGATTACTTAATTTTTCGATGTTTGGGTTTTAGGATTTCTCAGTTTTTCGATTTTTTAATTTTTGGTCTCATTTTTTCAATTTTTGGCGTTTCTAAATTTTCGAATTTTTGATTTCTCGATTAATTGATGTTTGATTTTTCGACTCTTCGACTTTTTGATTTTTTATTTTTTTCATGTTTTGATTTTTCGGCTTTGTGATTATTAGTTCGAATTTTTAAAATTCTGAACTTCTCGATTTTTCAATTTTTCAGTTTCTAGATTTTCAATTCTTCGATTACTTAATTTGTCGATATTTGGGTTTTAGGATTTTTCAATTTTTCGATTAATCGATTTTTGATTTTTCAAGTCCTAGATTTTTTGACTTTCCCAATTCTTAACTTCTTGATTTTTCAATTTTTCAGTTTTTCAATTCTTCAATTTTTCCATTTTTCAGTATTTCAGTTTCTCGATTTTCAATTCTTCGATTACTTAATTTTTCGATCTTTGGGTTTTAGGATTTTTTAATTTTTGGTCTTTCAATTTTTCAATTTTTTGCGTTTCTAAAATTTTCGAATTTTTGATTTCTCGATTAGCTGATGTTTGATTTTTCGACTTCTCGATTTTTCGATTTTTTAAATTTTTTCATGTTTTGATTTTTCAGCTTTGTGATTATTAATTTGAATTTTTGAAATTCTGGACTTCTAGATTTTTCAATTTTTCAGTTTCTCGATTTTCAATTCTTCGATTACTTAATTTGCCGATATTTGGGTTTTAGGATTTTTCAATTTTTCGATTTTTTTATTTTTTTGTATTTCAATTTTTGGCGTTTGTAAATTTTCGAATTTTTGATTTTTCAATTAATCGATTTTTGAGTTTTCGAGTCCTCGATTTTTTGACTTTCCCAGTTGTAGACTTCTCGATTTTTCAATTTTTCTGTTTTTCAATTATTTAATTTTTCGGTTTTTCAATATTTCGATTTCTCGCTTTTTCAATTTTTGATTTTTCGTTTTACGGATTTTTCAATTTTTCGATTTCACGATTTACCGAGATTTTGGTGTTTCGATTTTTCGATTGTTCAGTTTTCCGACTTCTCGAGCTTTCAATTTTTCGATTTATTTATTTACATTTCAGTGTGTTAGTTTTGGGATTTTTCAGTTTTTTGATTCTTCAATTATGTACTTAATTTTTCGATTTTTAATTTTTTGGTTCTTCAATTTTTCAATTTTTGACGTTTTTAAACTTTCGAATTTTTGATTTCTCGATTAATCCATTTTTTGATTTTTCAAGTTTTCGATTTTTCGATTTCCCAATTCATTTCTCGATTTCTCGACTTCTCGATTTTTCAGTTTCTCAATTCCCCAAATTTTCGATGTCTTGGTTTTAGACTTTTCGGTTTTCCAAATTTTCGATTTTTAAGTTTATTGAATTTTTCAATTTTTCGATTTCACGATTTTCGGAGATTTCGATGTTTCCATTTTTCGGTTGTTCAATTTTCAGATTTTTCGAGTTTTCAGTTTTTCGATTCATTGATTTACACTGAACATTTTTTAATTTTTCGAACTTCCAATTTTGGGCTATTTCTATTTTTTGATTTTTCGACTTCTGGACTTTTCGATTTCTCGATCATTTGATGTTTCGATTTTTCGATGTTTCAATTTTTTAATGTTTCGATTTTTCGATTTCTTGGTTTTCTGATTTTTCGGTTTTGCGATTTTTAGATTTTCCAGTTTTTCGATGCTTCGATTTTTTTATTTTCCCATTTCGTAATTTCTCGACTTTTCAATTTTTGGATTTCTGAACGTACCGATTTTTCGGTGTTTCAATTTTTCGAATTTCACTTTTGCGATTTTTCAACTTTTCGTTTTACGATTTTGAGATTTCGATGTTTCGATTTTTCTATTGCTCAATTTTTCGATATTTTAGTTTTGGGATTTTTCAGTCTTTTGATTCTACAATTATTCAATTTTTCAATTTTTCAGTTTTTCGATTTTGAATTCTTCAATTACAATTCAATTTTACTTACTTAATTTTTCGATATTTGGGTTTTAGAATTTTTCAGTTTTTGGCGTTTCTAAATTTTCGAATTTTTGATTTCTCGATTAATCGACTTCTGATTTTTTCAGTTTAAAATTGTTTGACTTTCCTATTCTCCATTTCTCTATTTTTCAATTTTTCGATTTCACGATTTACCGAGATTTTGGTGTTTCGACTTTTCGATTGTGTTCAGTTTTCTGATTTTTCGAGTTTACAATTTTTCAATTTATAGATTTACATTTAAAAGTTTTCATTTTTTAATTTTTCGGATTTTCGATTTTGGGCTCTTTCGACTTTTCGATTTCTCGATTTTTCGATATCTCAATTTTTTTTGTTTTGATTTTTCTATGTTTAATTTCTTGATGTTTCTATTTCGATTTCTGGGTTTTTTTGATTTTTCGGCTTTGAATCGATTAATTGATTCCTGATTATTTTTCCAGTTAAACATTTTTTATTTTCCCATTTCTCAATTTCTCGAGTTTTCAATTTTTGAATTCTGAATTATTTTAGATTTGTAATTTTTCATTTTTTGATTCTTCAATTTTTCAATTTTTCAGTTTCTCGATTTTCAATTCTTCGATTAATTAATTTTTTGGATGTTTGGGTTTTAGGATTTTTCAGTTTTTCGATTTTTAAATTCTTGGTCTTTCAATTTTTCAATTTTTGGCGTTTCTAAAATTTTCGAATTTTTGATTTCTCGATTAATTGATGTTTGATTTTTCGATTTCTCGACTTTTCGATTTTTTAATTTTTTATATTTTGATTTTTCGGCTGTGATTGCTAGTTTATTCAATTTATTCGATGTTTCGATTTATTTATTTTCCGATTTCTCGATTTCTAGATTTTCCAATTTTAGAAATCCTAGATTTCTCGATTTTTCAATTTTTCAGTTTCTCAATTTTTCGATGTTTTAGTTTTGGGGTTTTTCAGTTTTTTGATTCTTCAATGACTTAATTTTTCGATATTTGGGTTTTAGAACTTTACATTTTTCGATTTTTTAATTTTTT